TGGTTTGTGCTTCTCTCTTTGGTCAACATTGTTTGTCTTTCCCTCTTTGCTCAGTCTCTATGTTGGATTTTAGATTGGAGGATGTCAGTACTATCAGTGGGAGGATGAGATGGGGGAGACAGCTACACCAATCCTAGCAGTTCCACTACAGGCAGTGGCAGCACCTGGTGGTTTTCCCACAGCTCCTCCTCTAGCCATCTTGCAGGAAGGTTCCCAGGCAGCTATAGTTGAAGGCCATGCACCAATGGACAAGAGGGTGCAGCAGCAGCTTAGGAGGATTGAAAAACTTGTGTATTTGTGCTTGGTGCTTGCTTTGTATGCTATTTTCAAGAAGTAGGCTGTTGTTGTGTGTGTGTGTGTGTGAGTTTTCATGGATGTATGGATCAATCAATGCATGAATGAATAGATGAATGAATGAATGCTTCTCATGGTTCATAACAACATTAAGACAAAGAAACTAACAGTTCACTCATCCATCACATAACTGGTAGCATAATGTGTTTCATCACCAACAGCATATGGTGTTTGATCACATCACTTACAGTTTACACATAGAAACTAAATTACTAGAGTTTGTTCACATTACTAACATGAACCATCAATTTAGACAAGGTTTTTCATGACAGCCCCAAAAGAACATCAAAGTACCAAAAGATCATGCGTCAGGGCCAAAAAAAGAACATCACAGCACCAATAGAACATCACTAGAGTTTCTTACTGCAGCTTCTTTGGTGTCAACTTCTTCTTCACTGCTCCCTTATTTCTTCTTGGTGTGCATTGGGGATCCACAGGCTCAAGTGGGAGGTCATCAACTGGCTGGCTGGGCTGGGTGTCCACTATAATGGAGTCCTCATTGAAAGGAACCAGATGCACAGATAAGAGTGGGACTGGATCATTTGAACCAGTTCCAGACCTGACAGTCCATAGTATGCATTAGATTTCCACCTGGTTGAAATGAAAAGGATGAGGCAAAGAACAAGTACCTTGTAGACACACTAGTAGGAGCTGAGGTTGAACTAGTGGTGGCTGGTGCTACACCCTTGTGTTTCTGTGAGGAGGTTGAAGAAGAGGATGACTTCCTCTTCCTTTTGTTATGGATGGCATTTGCCACTACCTCATTGAATGGGAACTGCATCTGGGATGGCTGGGCCACCACAAGACTCCTCTCTGTGTTGCTTGCTGCATCCTTCTTCAACCTCTTCTTTGGTGTGCCCCTACAAAGGAAAATAGATTAGCTTCTGTGTATGCAAAGCTATGTACATGTAAAGGTAGCTATATGCATAGGACAACAGATTACCTTACTGCCTCCATTGCAGCTATGTCTTCTGGATTCCCATTCTTACAAGTGTACCAGTGATGGCCCAACTGATGACAGATGGGGCATTCATGTTTCTTTGACTTCCTCTGGCTGCTGCCTCCCTCAAGTGCAGATTTCATCCTATTCTTTCTCCTACCTCCACCTGTGGACTTAAGAAGAGGAGGGTTCAAGAAAAAGCCTGGTCCTGCCTCTGGCCACATGCTCTTGTCAGGTATGCTAGGGATGGAGCCATCATATGCAACTCTGAAATTGTTGACAGAGAAGTACTCATCCACATAGTCTTCAAGCTTTGCGCTAGGAATTGAGGTAATGTATGCAATGGCATGCTTGCATGGGATTCCTGACCCCTGCCAAACCCTACAAGAACAAGTCCTATATGTTAGGTTGACCACAAACCTGAACCCAGTTCCTTGCAGACCTTTAGCACACAGCTCTACCACACCTTCAGGTGAGGCTGTGATGACATCTATGTCTAAGTTGTAAGTGTCTTCCCTAAGTCTCTGCATGATATGGGGCATAATTTTGCCATTGAGCTTAGCAGCTACCCTCTTCCTATGGTTCCACTTGATCAAAAGCATCTGCCTTATAGTGTCCAGCAAGTCATCCAGGTGCTTACACTTTTTAGGTTTGACCCAGTTGTTGAAGGACTCAGCCAAATTGTTTGTCACATAGTCAACCTTTGATAGTGTGGTATACTGGCTCCTGGTCCAAAGCTTCTTGTGATTCTCTTGCAAGTACTTCATTGCTTCTGGTTTGGCTGCAGCCATTGCTTCATAATGCTTCTTAAACATGTATGGGCTCCATGAATATGAGGAAGCCCATAAGTGATCATCAAACACTCTACCACTATACCTCTTCTTGAAATTTTGTACTAAGTGATACATACATTCTCTATGTTCAGTTGTTGGAAAAACTTGACTGACTCCATTCATTACTGCCTGCCTATAGTCTGTATGGAATGTCATGCCTTCTGGAGTGCCTATTGCCTCCTTCAATCTCTCCATGAACCAGATCCAATTTTTATTGGTTTCAGAGTCAATCACACCAATAGCAACTGGATATATCCAGTTGTGGACATCTACTGCACATGCAACACACAACTGTCCCCTAAATCTCCCTGTCAAAAAGGTACTATCTATTGCAAGATATGGTCTACATCCCCTAAGAAATCCATCAACACATGCTTTCAGAGCAAAAAATAGCATGTTAAACCTGACCTTATTATTGATGGTGTGATGATCAATGACAAGAACTGAACCAGGACTAGATTGTTCTAACTGGGCCTTAAACCTAAACAAATTGTGGAAACTCTTGCCCCAAGGCCCATAAAGTTGATCCATTGCAAGGTATTTACCTTTATACACTTTCCTGTAGCTGATCTGAACCTTGTACAGATCCTTCAGCCTCCTTTGCAACTTTTTTGCACCAACATTTCCATCCTCTTTCAACCAATCAATTACCTTGCTGCACACCCAAAACTGACTAAGTCCAACACATGATCCTTGTCTCCTAGTGCTCTGGCAGCCATTTCCATGCTCATGTGGGTTCACCTTCACCTGAAAAAAAGTTGAAAAGAAACACATGTTAGCAGCTAGGTACATGCAAGGAAAATAGGTAGCAGTCAATACCACAAATTGAACTAACACATCACCTGAATGCCATGTCCATCAGCTGAAGTTGAGGCATGCAGTCTCCACGGGCATCCCTCATTCCTCAGAGAACAGTGCACCGTATACCTCCCTGTATCACTCTTGTCAATTTCATAGTTGAACTCATGTTTAACAGCATGACTAGCTAAAGCAATCTTAAAAGAAGCCATATCTGGGTAGATAGTTCCCACTATCATAGGAGGGTCATCTTTGTCATATTCAACATCAGGAAATTGAAATTGCTCAGGCTCCCTATCAGCAACTTCCTCATCAGATGATTCATCTATTTCTACTTCCTCATCTTCCTCGTCACTGGTTTCATCATCCCTATCAGCAACTTCCTCATCAGAGGATTCATCTATTTCTTCTTCTCTTTCTTTACTCCCCCCTTGGCTCTGAGAACTGGTAGGAGGAGGTGGAGGGTGGTTGGGACCAAAATCAATATATAAGCCTTCATCATCAATCCCCATATGCTCATTTATTGGATTTGGGTTAGCCAGGAACTCAGGTTGGCTTGGTTTGGGTGGCTTAGACTTGGATGTTTGCCTTGGTTTGGGTGACTGAGACTTGGATGGCTGCCTTGCTTTGGGTGGCTGAGACATAGATAGCTGGCTTGGTTCTGCTATGCTTGGAGAAACAATCGAAGGAGTGAATGGGGGCTCAACATATTTCCTTGGGCTACCAGACTCCCAATCAGAAAGCATAGGCTGAGTACCAGGACTATGATATGCAACAGTCAACAAGCATGTTCTGGTTGCCCTATTTTTTCAAACATTGCTAGCATCTCTTCGTCATTGCGCACAGGTATGTGAACTTTACTATGCATGCACCAGTAAAACAATGTGGCTACATCACCATAGCTAGCTAGGAGGATACTTGTCAACCAAATCTTCCATAAGCCCAGTTAACAAAGTTCTGTCTGCATCCACCACTTCATTCACAGAAAACCACTTTGCACGACAATTGGGACCAACAATGCGCGTTTCTAGGTTGTAACTACTGTTTGGGTCCATCCTACAGATGAACAAGGAGCACGTAATCAATAAACCCTAAACACGATTCGGTAGCGCAATACACTAATGCAATCAACATCGATACAAGGAGGGGCGAAGTCAAGGAGGGAGGAGGAGCGGTACTCACTCTTCCCGGAACCAATCCGGCCTCTCGCCGGGTCCGTTCCACGGCATGCCTGCTCCGCCCGACCGTCTTGCTCCACGGGGCTAGGATTTCGAGGGCGGGCCACCAACACCGACTGCCGCCGTCTCCAGATCTGCCGCCGCTAGGGTTCGCCGCCGTGTCCTCCCGCGCTCGGGTGAGAGAGTGAGGAACGAGAATGGGGAGAGACTGAGAGAGAGGCTCGGGTGAGACTGAAGGAGATGCGGCCCAATATGTCAGTGACCCAGAGGGCAAGGAGGATATTTTTCTAGCTCGGTCCCACATGTCAGAGCCGCCAAACGGCCAAAACCTAACAGAATACCGACGGAATAACGTAAGGGAAAAGAAAAGTTCGAGCGAGGGCACGTAGGTGACGACCAACTTTTGAGGAGTACGCAGAAGTGTGGCATCTTTTTTAAGAGTACACTGGTAAAAGCCTCGGGAGGAAAAGGCCTGCCACAGGTGCAAGTGCAACACGGGAAGAGGAGGGAAGAAGGGGCCGGTGGCAGGCGCATCGGCCGGCGACGAGCAGAGGCACCGCACGGGATGCGCAGGAGAGAGGAGCTGCGGGAAGTGAAATGAACGAACGGGTTTTTTATTTTTATTTTTATTTTTTTTAGCACGTGAGTCACGGACGAACGTCCTTGTCGTATCGGTAAAAGAAGGATATGGCATACTTCTGTCCAGACAAGAGAAGAAGATAATAAAAAAAGAGAATATAAATATGGCTTATTTCTGCACTAATCACGACGAATCAAACGGTGAGCGTCGTCACCGGTCACCACCCGATCCTTGTTTCTGTTCTTTTGTTGTCCGCCCGCCGGCGCTGGTGGACAAGAGGAAAGGGTCCGACCGGTTGCCGTTGCTCTCTCGTTGCCATGGCCGTGGCGGCGGCCTTCCCCTCCGGCTCCCTCCTCCCCAATACCCCCGGTACCCACCTCGCCCCGTTCACTCTGCGCTTCCCCTTCCGCCTCCGCCCACGGTGCGCCGCCTTGGTCGCCGCCGCCGCCACACTCCGCGAGGTCTGCGCCGGCCGCGTCCCGGACCACGTCCTACAGAGGTGAACCCCGCAACCAGACGAGACGCCAATCCTTTACCATGCCATTAGCTCACTCGTCGGCGGAGGAAAAGGCAACACCTAGAAATTCGGGGGTGGTTTCATTTCTTGATTGAAAACATAGAAATTTGGTTTCAGGGCTGAGGAGGTTGGCTATGTCGTTCCCACCGAGGTGCAGGAGCAATCCCTGCCGCTTCTGCTGTCCGGCCAGGATCGCGTTCTCCACGCGCAGGTGGCCCTTTCTTGCTCGTTTCTTTCCTACTAGTCCAAGAGTTCGTGTTGTGCGATACTGCTGTGGCCTGTTATCGCATTTCGCATTTCACATTTCACATTTCACGGTGGTCTGTAGACAGGCTCTGGGAAGACGCTGGCCTACCTCTTGTCTGTCTTCTCCGCCATCGACTTCAGCAGGTCCTCGGTGCAAGCACTGGTTGTCGTCCCCACAAGGGAGCTCGGCATGCAGGTGGTTGGCTTTGATTTGATTGCCGGCTCGATTGCTTGCTCAGTGCACCCCGTCTGTCTGATGTGGCTTCCTGTGGTGCTCCAAGGTTACCAAGGTTGCTAGACTACTCGCAGCGAAGGCCTGCACCGTCACGTGCCCTGTTCGCTTGGCTGGAAAAGTACGTCTACAAGCGTACAGGGCGATGGCTTTGCTTGACGGTGGTATGCTCAAGAGGCAAAAGAGCTGGGTCAAGGTAACAGTAGTACTGACCATCTCTTGCTGGATGTATGTTGATGCCTGATTACCTGGGACCATTTTGATCGGAAGTGGCTATTCAATTATTAGGTCCAGATCTATCTTTTGATTTCAACGTATATTTATGTCGCTACGATATTGCCGGTTATGGCATGGTAGCAGAATTCATTTACATCATCACGTAGAGGGTTTGCCATGTGTTTGTGATTAATTGTCGATAAAATTTACAGGCTGAGCCCCCCGCGATAATTGTAGCTACCGTGGCAAGCTTGTGCCAAATGGTCGAGAGGCGCGCATTCAGCCTTCAATCCATGAGAGTGTTAGTTATCGATGAGGTGAGCTCATCGCTCTACTTTCTGAAGTCTTGAATCAAATTACTGTCAGAGTTTGCTCCACCCGCTGATGCTCTGTAATTATACTTGCCAAGGGGGCTAACCTTGTTGTTTCCATAGGTTGATTTTTATTTTTGGGTTATCAAAGCAAGTCAGCTCTCTCCGCAAAATATTAACCTCTTATTCAGCAGCTTCGAGTCATCAAACCATATTTGCAAGCGCATCGATCCCTCAGCACAATCGCTTTCTGCACTACTGTGTACAGCATAAATGGACCAAGGTTGTACTAACTTCTTCTACTGAACCAATTGCTGTTTGTTTTTGTACTTCAAAGAAGGCTAATGTCTTCTTCCCCTTATCATGGTATAGAGTGATGTGGTTCATGTTCATGTCCACCCTGTACAACCCATCGCTACAAAAAATACCCTTATATATGACGGTTTACTTTGGTCACATACAAGCGAAAATGCGTCACAGTTAACTCACGATGACGATCGCGAAAAACGTCATGTATCCCGCGTCATACATTTGTTGGATCGAATTGAACCGTCACAGATTGACATTTGTGTCCGTCATGAATTAGTTGTCCGTCTCCTATAAACAGCCCATATCCAAGCCCAGATCTAAACCATAGTGACGAAAAAGAACATCACAAATTAGTGCCAAATCATCACAGCATTAACGATACAATCAACATTAACCTTGTCACACATTAAGACACTCATGAAACACATAAACTGGAACAAAGCTCACAATTGACAGAACATTGCTCATCATTTTCATTGAAACCATCAACATTTGTTTTTGTACAAATTTCCACAGAAAATACTAAGGCAATAACCAAGCTACACTCAAGTACCTACAAAACTAAGATGTTGGCTTGTACAACACACAACTCATATGATTTGCTTAGACAACTAAATCTTTCGTAACTAACGAAAATAGCCACCATGAGCACCTTGATCCTCTTGCCGCAATTCAGAGAGCACAAGTGTTGGTCTCAGCTAATAATCCATTGGGTTTGCATTTGAAGAGTACCAGAGAAATAATCATAATCAGCGGCAATGTGCTGTAGCTGCACCATATTTGAACTATTAGCCTGCAATGTTCAGAAGAGACACCCCCTGTTTGTTAGTATTGAGCACAACCAATATATTTTAGGTAACTTAATCTAGCACAAATTTCAAATCAGGTAGCCTATAGAATTGACAATTGGAGTAACACAGGGTAGTTCAAAGTATGCAGTGTCTGATGCCTGGATAAGTTATCATCCTGGATATGTTAAAATGTCAAAGAAATCAATGTAACTTAATTTCTTTTTTTGGTTCCAGATCAGAAACTTAGAAAATAATTAGCTATAAATAAAACACTAAGGCCAAAAGAGTACAGATCCACCACACATCTAAATTTCTGGTCCAAAACTCATGTTCAATGATATTTACAACAAATTAAGTGATGCAACACTTCTAAAGTACTAGGAAAATGAGATTTTTTAAACACTATTCTAAATGGCGGGGTTATGAGCTAGCTTCTGAAACAAGACAAATTTTGGAACAATGCAGACAAATATCACAATAAGCTTACCATTTCTTAGCTGTGCTTGCTACTCCATCGCTTGCATCATGATTTTCAACTCATTGTTGCCAGTAGCCATCTCAGCTGAGTCTCTCTGCAAACATGTAAGAGGACAGTAAATTGCTGCAGCTCATAAATCTTCTCCAACCCAAACAGCGAGACAGTGATACCATATTGAGCACCATACTATATCGAAGCACGGAGCTAGAGATACCAGGTACTAAATAGTGAGTTTGCAGATCATAACAATGGTCCTCCCACATGCTAGGCTGCATCATTAATACCAGCACCCCTTCCCATCATCACAACAACTAGAAATCACAGAGTAGATCTCCTGAGATGCAATGTATGTATTCTAGAGCAGGCTCAGATCAACCTGAGATGCATGTATGTATTCTAGAGTATTCTAGTTGCAGTATCAGATCAATTCAAAGCCATAAGAAAAACGATTACAAGAAAGCTCACTCACCTACTTGTACATGAAAGCATCTACTCGGGTTTCTAAGCTGACCCAGTAACTGCAGCAAACAATTATTATATAAGTTTTTGCTTCACAATTATATATAATTGTTGTTGTTCCTCTATATTCCGCATCCATGTCGTTCAAAGAAATTTATACATAATCATTCCTCTCTACTCCAATTTGCAAATAGATAACATATTCACAGGTACGCACTAGGCACTAGGCAGTAAGGGCGTACCCAGTGCAGAGAGCTCTCGCTCTGTGCGGGGTCTAGGGAAGGATGTCAGTAGCAAGCCTTACCCTCGCCTGTGCAATGCGAGGAGACCGCGACTCGAACCCAGGACCTTCCGGTCACAGGCGGTAAGACTCTACCGCTTGCACCAGGCACTAGGCAGTAAGTCACAATGAAATATATTAGTGCAGGCATTTGAAGTTATGTGCCTGCCGAATTGCACATATGTGGCTTCTTTAACCAGAGCTAGCATTACCTACCACACAAGAATTGCAAATACCCAAACCTGGTCTGTAGTGGTGGTAGCTGAGGATGAGATCTGGCTTGCCGCCTTGTCCCCTGCAGCACCGCATCTTGTGCCTCAGTACCCCAACCAAATCCCAGGCAGCAGGCACTAGGCACCATCAGCTCGAACCGAGATTGAATCCAAGGTCACCAAATCTTTACAGAGAGAGACAACACGTGGAAGGAAGGGTGGGGATTCACCTGGATCTCATCCCTACAAAGGGAGAGAGGTGCTTAGGGTTAGGAGCATCACAGAAGCGGCGGGAACCAGCACAGGAGCGATGGGTTTCAGTACTGTAGGGACTAGGGTTACCCATCACCGTTGTCGCCCGCGCGCCGAGAACCCGCCGCCGCCGTTGCCCACGCTGGGATCCCACCACTGCTGCCACCGTCGCCCACACCGGGATCCAGTGGCCGCCGCCACCACCGCCGTCGCCCACGCCGGATCCCGCCGTTGCCCACGCCGGAGGGGAGGGAGAGGGAGCGGGGCCTGGGAGTGCCGCCGCCGGCCGCTAGGAGTGCGCGTCGCTCGGAGATAGGAGGAGAAGGAGAGGGTGCGGGCCTGCGGGAGAGGGAGAGGGAGAGGAAGAGAGAGATGTGCTCGCTGGGCTAAGGGAGAGGGTGAGGGTGCGCACCGCTCTCGGCTGAGGGAGAGGGAGAGGGTGAGAGAGCTGAGAAACCCTAAGCTGGGTCTTGGGCTGGATATCCAATACTCTGGATCTTGCATCATTTACAGGGGAATATGATTGTGACGTCCAACCGTGACGACAACTAAACCAGTCGTATCACCTCAGGAATGAACCGTCACAGACAATAGAATTCTATGATGTTTTCTTAGAACGTCACCAGTAAACCGTCATGCAAAGCCTTATTTCTTGTAGTATGCCTTCGCACCTGTGTCACAAATATGTGGTGAGCATATCAAATTCTCTGTATAATGATTGATGACCTTGTATCTAATTTCTCTTTTAGTTCACTCATACAAGGACCTTCCAATTTTCTCCCACCTTTCTTTCAACCATAGGCACTTACCCACAACCATGCCCCCCCACAGGCTCATTGTTGTAAATTATACTAATGTTCTTCTTGACAACTAATTTTGGGATGCATGGCACTTACTCAACATCACCTACCTCTAGGCATGTCACATTTCTTGTAATTCTCAACTAATCCAATGCATGTAGAGGCAACCTGTTTTTTTCTTTTTTCCCATAATTAGTGCCTCCTGGCCATCTAAGTCCACAACTGACCTCCTTTCTCCTGAGATTTCTTTTCGATCTCTGTCTGAATCTTGGTGGCTATGACAACACAATCAATGTGCAGATCTGCACCAAGAAGGAAAGGTTGCATGTTTTACTATCCTTGCTCGAGAGGGATGCACCGAAGTCTGGAATCATATTTGTTGCTGAACAGGTACTGGTGTACATGATGTTCTTTTGGTACCATACCATGTTGTTTACATAGTTTCTCTAGTATCTTGGGATTTCGTCATCTATTTCCTGGGCTGCTTCCTCAGTAGGGTTGTCAATAGGCCAAGTGATCTTATGACAGGCCAGCAATATTATGTCAGATGCAAATTTAAAATAGTCGTAAAACATTTTGCCGTTTCTATCTGCTTATATGGAATGATACAGAATAATGCATGATACAGTTTTGTGCTGTGATGCTGTACTGCCATGCACATATGTGATGAGTTGAGCCAATTTGGTATCTGCAATTTCGCAAACGTTTATTACCTTTTCAATTACTAGTAGTACCTGGGAAAGTTTCTGCAAAATCAATACCCCAGTTAGCATTCATCATGTAAACACCAAGATCCAGGCAGCGTCCACCAGTCCATAATTTCATCGTATTTTCAGTTTCCACAATTGCTGTGCTCTGACCAATACCCCCGATTCATAAGCTTTTAGATTTTGGATACTTGACACTTATAAGTAACAAAATTGGTTTGTTCACTAATAAAGGGGCATCTATTCATCACCTAGCTCTGAGCAGTTATGTTGTAGTGATGAATCTTAAGTTCTTAACTGAACCAGAGAAGTAATGTATCATCCTCAACTCTGCATTCTGTTTTGTAACTCCTGAACCTATGTTCTTAGTCTGAGAGATCAAAGAAGGCTGGAAATCCTCCTTCAACCACTGTCGTTGCTGAGTTCTTGAGAAATGAATATAAGGGAAGCCTAGATGTGCTGCTGCTGGAAGAAGATATGAACTTCAATGCTCGAGCTGCCTCGTTCTCTGTAAGTGCTCTCCGAGTTCCTTGTCTGAATCTCCCAGCATCTCCATTCTTTGTATTAACTATGAGATTTGTGACCTCGGCAGGAAGTGAAGGGAAGAGGATTCCTGCTGGTTTCAACAGACATAGCAAGCAGAGGGTTTGACCTTCCTCAAACCAGCCATATATACAACTTCGACCTTCCCAAGACGGCAACCGACTATCTGCACCGTGCTGGAAGAACCGGGAGAGAACCTTTCTCCAGGTTGGAATGCGGCGTGACAACCCTTATAACGGAGGATGAGCACTTCGTGCTGCAGAGATTTCAGAATGAGCTCAAGTTCCACTGTGAAGAGCTGCCCCTTGAGTCCATGTTCACTTTCTCTTGAGCTCGGAGTTGAATACTAGTCTTTTTTCGCTTTTTTGGTACTGCTACAGGATATCAATTTTTTTTCGTTTGAGCATCTATTGTTGAGAGAGAGAGAGAGAGACTCCAGCATTTGTATCGGTTGTGTATATATATATATATATACACACACACACACACACACTTATGAAATGATCTTGAATCATGATAAAGTTGGTCCTGATTTCTTTTATCGTCTCAGAAAACGATTAAACTCAAATACAACCATGTAGCTTAGTCCACTAGACTATAGATTATTAATCAACAGCTGTTAATGTTATTGTCCTTTTTTTTATCTCAATGGTATTGTCCATTAATCACCTGTAAACCAAAATCATGATTATGTAAAATTAAACGCTTCATCTAGTCATTCATGTGAATTATCAACAGAAAAGAGCAAAACCATATTCCATATTCAGTACGGGTAACATGTTGGCAGCCATGGTACTCTAGTCTAGTCAAGTGCCACGGCCGATGGCTTAACTTCACACAAACAAAGTTTAGAGGGGGCAAATTCACATGAACTAGGAAAGTCTGGGCGGCGCCAGTAATAGCATGAAACTGAGCTAAACTGGACGGGATTGACATGGGGCAGGTGGCTGTTCTTTTATGGTTGTTGAGGCTGCAGCAACTTGGAATCGCAGGCCACGATCTTCACCTTGCCCAGTGTTTCTTGAATCTCCTCGCTCTTGAAGGTTGCATCTGTTAGAATGAAGGTCCAGACGTTGTCGCAGAACCTGTAGGTGTGCAGATGACCCTGTACAGCGACAAGGAAAGCCATCACAGATCTAGTCTGATAACTGATTAAGATTTCAAATGCCAAAGTGAAAAGAAATACCGAGTACTGAGCTGGGACCAGTCTGAAACCATGAGATATGCAAGACAGTTTGAAAACTTCCACGCTCGATTTTAATTGTAACATTTGAACCCCAACATACAGAATTTAGAGTATCAAAACTATCCAACAGAAGCAGGAAGCACGTACAGTGGACTCATATAAAGGCACAAGCCCTAGCTGAAACACTAACAATAAGGTATGAGGCCAGAGGCTCTCGTCTTTTCTTTGAAGTCGAGCAAAATAATAGCAAGCATTCAGTATGTGAAGCTATTAGCATGCAAAGAAGGATATCACCGAAGTTCATTCTAGATCATACAAAAAAGGCCCTTTGCCTCAAAAATGTCTTCATGGTTTCAAAATATAAAAGAGACTAGCACTTATTATAGAAAGACAACTATCTATGTTCCCAAGAAAAAGGTGTACTATGAAGTTTTCATTTTAACAAACTGGAAGAGAAACCAACAATGTGACAGGTAGCTACGTAGAACTTTCATGTACACACAGAACTACCAAAAAAAAATGTGTGAACTTTTAGTCCATTAAATGAGGTAGGAAAGTTGAATTTGCAGTTATTTACAGGCCCAGTTATACAGAAGGTTGAACCAGATGTCAAATTTGGAAATTAAACAAGTTGATGTTTTTTCTCTCACAAGAACACCAAGCTGTAGTGGCTTATAAAAATGACAAGCCACAGACTGCTCTAGCCGCACTTTTTTTACGACATGATAGAAGCAGTGTGCACATATGCACAACACTGTGGAAAGGGTAGCAGTTCATAATGATGATGCTGGTGATACAATGTATAATACATTGTTAAAGCACGTTAGAACAATTCCTGCGAGCGTGCCAGTTGGCAACTAGTTCATGGTAATAATGTACTGCATCTAACAAACAGAGGAAATTGAAGTAGAGACTGATTAATTGAATACATGTGAAATTCAAGAGCAAGCACATATGTCACTGGTACATGGGCAAATCAATGATTTCGGACAACAGTTCAAAACATATCACAGCAATGGAAACTAGCAAGGCTAACAGTAAAAAAAATGCGAGGCTACGTGCAGTGCAAAGAGTGCTACAAAGGCAAACATTAACACAAGTGCTTCCAAAATTTTTCCAGCATACTAAAAATTAATCCACATATGGAGGGAGTACAGTTTTTGATAGCCATTATTTTGCTTTATCAGAGGTTAACGGACAAACCCAATAAATATGTAGTGCAAAACATGATTGTGTACAACAGTGAAGTACAAGCCAATACGCATTGTAGCACACAGGATCATTAAACAGAATGGTTAGAGGTTGTCTGGTTTAATTTTCTAAGTGTACATCATTCACCACCAGCATAATACATAGTTTGAAATTTCTACCTCGTGAATTCTGCTACATGTGTAAACAGAAAAAGGAAGGCAGACGTTTTCATTTTAAGTGGCTAGCTAAGAACTAACAGTTTAAATTTGTTAGCTAAATCTATATTAGCAGGTTCATAACAAAAGGAACCTCAATATCAATCCCCTTCAAAGCTCTAGACCCATGGCTCCTATCGCATTGAATCCATATCTGAATCAAGAAAGGCCGGGCACATCGATCGTATGTACCTTGACATTAACCTTGCTTTTGACCTGCATCTCCAGCGCCTCAGTCATGGACTAAAGACAATAAGAGAAGGGTGTCAAAACAAGCAGTGACGTAGTGTCAGGGACCTGGTAATTTTGAGACCCATACTGTAATGTCGTCAGACCTTGTCGAACTGCAGGAGGACCTGGATGGCGAGCTCTGGGCTGACGGCCCCGCTGGAGACGAGCTCGTCCAGCGTCTCGGTGAGGCAGTTGCCAATGGTGGACCTCCGGTACAGCTCGAAGGTGGCCATCCCCTGCATGCAACGCCACGCCACGCCGGGCCTCAGCAGCGTCAGAACACACCGTAGAGAATTACATGTACATGTTGTTTCAGATAAACTAGCAGAGATGAAGCAGCGGATCGGACACCTCTCAAGTTCAAGTCACGATGAGAAACTCAGACTAGCACGGCATTCCATTCCAAGGCACAAATGAATGAACCAAGTAACCGAAACCCGCCGCAATATTAATCACGAATCGATCATCCGTCTAACCCGCGAACCGGATGACGACGACGACGACGCCTGCAGGGGCAAACCCTAACTGAAACTCGGCGACGGAGGCCGAATCGGGGCGCGCGAGTAGCTAGTAGCTAGCAAAACCCGCCTAGAAACTCCGGAGATCGAAGAGCTTACACGAGGCTCACCTGGCACGGATCGGGCGAGGAGGAACGGCGGATCTGGCGGAACTGCGGCTGTTCCTTGACGGACGGAGGCGGAGCACGGAGGGATCGCGCCGGGGAGGGGAACCGGGAAGGAGGAGAGGGACTGAGGGAGGCAGAGGAGGAGGGGGAATTCGAAATCTGGCCTCTTATTCTTATATATATACGGACGGAGGTGGGAGAAGGGGAATTGGGGACGCTTTATATAGGAGGTTCTTGACTTGTTCGGGTTCATTCTCTTCCGCATGTCGGTCCCAATGACCGACTCTACCCCTCTCTCCATTGCCCATCTGGCATGCAGCTGTCAGCTGTACAAGGACGACCGTCTCCTCTCCTCTCCTTTGGCTCTTTGTCGTATTTCTTCTTCTCTTTTTACTAGCAAAGAAAAGAAGTTACACTTCTTTTACACTCGATTGACATTTGTTTGTTATTTCACCACGGTAGAGTTTTGAAAATTTCTAGCTAATTAAATTGACGAGGCTCTTGTTTTCTAGTGGCATTTGAGCGGACATCAGATCAAGCATGCGAACAAACTGCTTTCAATGTAAGTAAAACGCAGACACTTTCTGTGACGGACTTAACTTCATCGCTTTTCGCTTTGATGAACTGTTTCGTTATGCACCTTCGAAAATTCCAGACCAAGTGTCATTAGGAAGGCCCTAAATGTGGAGTGCAACGCAAAGGAATTGAGGAAGGGTAACAAACGCAGGTAGATCACACAAAAAGTCTACTGGCAGTTCCTCTGGAGCTCCCATGTGGCAATCTACGGCCGGCCATCCCCGACCCCGAGCACCACCATTGCCTCATCTGCAAGCATAATGAGTTTATCACCCAAGACCACCGGTGCCCTGATGGAACAATCAGAGAGCACCACCTACAAGCAGAGGCGGAGCCTCGTGGAGGCGAGATGGGGCGTTGGCCCCCTCTCTCTTGAAAAACAAGAGTGGCCGCTTTGTGAAACTGAAGCTCGAAGCAAAGCAATTGAACTAGACAAGTCATATAGCAGTAGGCGCATAGCTGTGACTGAGTCCAGGTAAAGCATGCATGCCATGGAGTGGTGATAGGATCATGGGATATGTATGTGCTTTGAAAGTTCGATAATAATACCGTGCGGCGCCGCATGACTCAGACCGGCCGCGCGCCTCGCCTTATCCGTTCGACTCCCCCACCCACTCACATCCCGTCCCGTGTCCGCGGCACCCATTCGCTCGCTCCGCTTCTCCGCACCCACTTTCTCGCTGCTGCGTCGCGCGCCCTTCTGCGGGCCGCAGCGCCCGCGCATCGAATCACTGTCGCCCCTCCCTCCTTCCCTCCCTTCCGCGACCTCCATGCCATCGGAGAGGAGGGCGACGTCGACTGCTTCCAGCGAGATAGGTGGGTCCTTCTCTGAATCTGAGCCCTCCTCCGGATCTAAGCTCTCCTCCTCCTCTTCCTCCTCTACATCTGGATCTGAGGGATGTGGCGGTGGCTATGGTTCCGGCGAGCTCTGTTGCAGTAGGCTTATTTTTGCTGTTGCAACAAGTAATATTTCTTTGTTGTATTAGTCTTTTTTTCTGATGTTGCATCTCGCATTGCACTTTGTTTCTGCTGTTGCAGTAGCCTTGTTTTGCTGTTGCAACAAGTAATATTTCTTTGTTGCATTAGTCTCTCTTTTCTGATGTTGCATCTCGCATTGCACTTTTGTTTCTGCTATTGCAGTAGCCTTGTTTTGATGTTGCAACAAGTAATATTTCTTTGTTGCATTAGTCTATTTTTTCTGATGTTGCATCTCGCATTGCACTTTTGTTTCTGTTGTTGCAGTAGCCTTGTTTTGCTGTTGCAACAAGTAATATTTCTTTGTTGCATTAGTTTCTTTTTCTGATCTT